CACCAGCCCACCGCCAATGACCAAGTCCCCCTCGTTTCGACTCCCCTTTGGTCGCGGAATCATGTACTCGTACCCCTTATCGTAGATGAAGCTGTATGTGGTCGGCAAACATCCCTTCTCGGGAACTTTGCTCCCGGGCCTTTGCGCCGTGACCTGTCCACGCAGGGGGATGATAACGCCCTGAAAAGTGGGCGCAATGGCGGCCGTGTACCCGTTCGTGGCGAGGATGATGTCTTTGGTCCAAATGTTTCCGCGAGGGGTTTGTACGGTCCAGGTGCGTTCGTCGCGGTTTTTCATCAGGGAGGTGGCGGGCGTGTTGGTTTGCAGGTTGAGGCCGCGGGATAGGCAGAGCTTGAGGAGGCCGGTGGTGAAGGCGTAGGAGGAGATGCTACCGGCTGGGTAGGAGACACCGCCGTAGATGGTTTGTGGTTGACCGGCTACCGTTCCGGCGTCAAGGGCGCAGTGGAATTTGGACTGGACTTCCTCGGGAGAGTGAAATGTGTACTCTGCTACTGGATCTCCTTCAGGGAAGGCAGCCTTCATGGCTGCGACAGCTTCGTGGGCGGCGGTCCATTGGCTTTCGTCATAGACGATGTCGATGGTGTGGCAGGGGTTGGAGTCGCAAGGGATATTGTGCTCTTTGGCGAAGGCATGGACGGCCTGAATGTTGTCATACTCGAGTCTCGCGATCTGTACGGCGGCCGGAGTGCCAAGGAGTGAGGCGTGCTCGAGAAATGAGCGGTAGGAGGCGGCTTTGGTGTGTCCGCCGTTGCGGCCTGTTGCGCCGGAGCAAGCTTGGCGAGCTTCGAGCATGACGATGTTTCTGGACCCCGCTTCCCCAGGCTTGACATCTTTTAGGAGGTTCCATGCTATCGCTGCACCGGTGATGCCGCTTCCTATGATGACAATGTCGGCACGGTCTGGAAGGTCCTTGGTGGTATGCTGGTCGGCAATGTCATGGGGAGGATCTTGCCAGTAGCTCGGGGTTGGATTCTCTCGAGGAAGAGTGACTCGGATTTTGGCGCGTTCGTCCATTGTTGGGTGACTGGTGTTTGGATAACTGCTTTTCTTCAAAAGAAGAGGCAGTCTTATTGCCGATGTGTTTTCTGCAAGTTATCAGTCTCGTGCCACCCTTCCAAGCTGAAGAGAAACTCCATGTCGTGAGACGGCTGACGTACCTAGCTGAACACCGACCCCTCTGATGGGCCTATCAAGCCCACGGAGTTCATCCCGTAGCGCTTAAGGTAAGGTATCTCCACTAAACGACGGGGGCTTTGGGCCTTCCCGTCACCCCCGCCACAGAGCACTCCACCCGCGGTCCGCTCCTTTCCTGTCGATCATTGTCGATACGAACAACTTGAAGTCATGTCGACATTGAGATTCTTGTGGGTTATCGTCCTCAAAGATCATACATATCGTTGGCTCGCTTTACAAGGCAATTCTTGGATACAAACTTGGAGCTGGAAATACCGTAGCTACCCAGCCTCGCCAGCCTCCACTTGAAGCCCCAAATCGAGCGCTATGCGTACCCCGAACTCCATCGCGCACAAGACCGATTCCCCAGAGGCAACATGAGAGCTTGAGAAAGCTTCGGTGTTGGCGTGTGTGTTGAGGAATAAGGGTTCATCGAGCGCCCCCCAAGCTAAAGATAGAGCGGAGTGCAGGGTTGACCGTGTAAATGTAGGGAAAGGACAAACTGTTGAAGTGGTTGAACTTGGGCGAGATCTTGAATAATGACTGATCATTTTGGTGCCAAGAAACAAACTGATGATTCGAAGTCGGCGAGGTCGGGCCGGGGCGACCGGAATGTGATGGGAGGCCCCGGACCTGAAGATGAAAAGTGGAAAAAGCCCAGAGGAAAGGGAAAAGGGTCGGCCAGGGGGGTGCCTGAATGGGGACTGCCCGGGCCGCCTGACATAGGGCTCCAGTGTTCGTTCGGTCGAAACTCCACTGAAACCCACACACAGCTCCCGGGGTTCAATCCACTCACCAAGCTGCCTGGTCCCACGCTGTCAGGCAGAGAGCGGAGACTTGCTTACCTCTAGTGACGAATTTCAAATCTTAAATTCCACTTCTTCACACCTTCCTCTTCCGGCCTTCGATGTTGCTCTCTTGCAACTCGCTTCGACCGTAACGTCAAGCAGCTCGTCGATTGATCGTATGACATGTTCACCAATGTGAAGCATCCGAAGTTGGTTCCTTTTCTCTGTTGTCTCATCACATTCAGGTCCCTGGACATCAATTTCGACTGTCATCTTGTCTTGGCGTGCTTTAGTCTAGCAACCGATGGCCACTTTGCCTTCGATCTGTCCAACCCCTTCTGATCTGATTTCAAGCAAACTTGCCCAAGTAGTAGGCTTGTTCAGTAAACACTTCCAGCCACCGGAAAACTCCTTCTGATCCAATATTCAGGAGTGAAGTCACTCCAATGAGAAGAAGAACCTCGAGAAAGGCCCACCAACAGCCACATCTGGTCACGGACACCGCACACACAGTTTGCGATCTTGAAGATGAACCAGACCGATTCGCAACTCCAAGAGAACTCGACTGCGGATACAGTGTTGTGCTTTGTTGCGGGGTCCCCATGCCCCCCATCCAGGGCAGTTTGTTCACCCGGGGCTTCCCCTGGGGGAAAAGATCATAGCCGTTGAAAACATGTGGATTTCGGAGGAAACGCGGGAAGGTGTCCGTCACATGGAATTTGCTGATGTCGGGTGCCTTTTTCATCTTGCCGGGGTCCAAGGCATCGTCTTCCGGCCCAGTTACGCGGTGTAACCTCTCGAAAATCAACAGCTACGGGATACCTTCCGGCTTCGTAGCCAGCTTCATGTTCACTGTACCTGCAGTCGGCTCCGACCCGACGGATTGGTAGCTATGGGGTAGACACCTGGCACTAGTGAAGATTGCCCAATCATGAAGCCCTGTAACTAGGTACAGGGTACCTCTAGTCACCAAATTTATCATTGCGATCTTCTGTCCCTTGCTCGCTGTCTCGAGCTTATTTGCGTCCCGGCCCCGGCCCAACAAACATTGCACCATGTTTGGGTCCGACAAGGCCCAAGCCTTTTCAAATAATTGGGGAGGGGGGATCTCCCGGTTACCTCTACATGGATCAACCTGTCTATATTATCTTGGTCCTCTCTTGTCCATTCGTGCCAATGATCCCTTCCTCCTCATCACTCAACCAAAAAGCCTTTCCCATATTTGCTTATCATTTCTCGAAAACATGGACTCCGGAAAGTATAGCTCGTCGGCGCATCTCTACTCGTGCTCCGCACCGGTAGCTTCCCACCATATCATCCTACAATCAACACAAGAAAACGATTCCTGGACAGCTGCAGGATGGGGGAGTTCAGGAGCACAGGCCGGACGCACAAGCTCGCCCTCATACCCGGAAGACCCGTCTGAAAACTGCCAGGAAGACTTTGGATATGATGATTGCCCATTCGAGTTCGATGACTCGGACGAGAGCGATTGCTCTAGCTCCACCACCGACTCAATCCGAGACCATGTCTACGAGGGAGGCTTGCGATACCACGCCTACCATGCGGGAAAATATGCGTACCCCAACGACGAGAACGAGCAGAGTCGTGAGGAAATCAAGCATACCATGTCCGTGATGCTCTGTGACGGGCAATCCTTCTTGGCTCCCGTCGAGGAGGCATTGGAAGATGGTGGACAGGTCCTTGACTTGGGGACTGGTACCGGGATATGGCCCATGCAATGTAAGCAGTCCTCTGTTTTACCCAGGCTGCCACCCAGGCACAGAAGATGCCATTGCTAACACCAAAGCGACAGTGGCCGAAGAGTACCCCGATGCAGTCATAACAGGCATTGACCTGTCACCCATCCAGCCCAGCTTCGTCCCAGAAAACGTGCGCTTCTTCGTCGACGATATCGAAGACGAATGGGTGGACCCGGAGAACAAGTACGATTACACCCACATGCGCTTCGCACTACATACCCTCAAGGATAGGAAGTCACTTATGGAGCGTGTCATCCGGTAGGTCTCTCACTCGATCCTTCTCGTCAAGCGATTCATCTAACTAACCTAACCCCAGACACCTCAAACCAGGCGGCTACTTTGAAATCCAAGACATCGATGCCAGCTATCCACGTTGCGACGACCACACTCTCACACCAGACACACCCTATGCCTTCCGTGACTACCTGAAGTACTTTGAAGCCGGTCTCAAGGCCATGGGTGCCGACATCAGCGCCATCCAGAAGGCTTCTCAAGAGATGCGAGCGGCCGGGTTTGAGGATGTCACCGAGATCACCAAGAAGCTTCCCCTTGGGCTATGGCCGGCGGATAAGAAGCTCCGACTTTGCGGTTTGTTTTGGCGAACGGCGGTCATGGATGGCTTGAAGGGACTGTGCAGCCGGCCGTTCCAGGCTATCGGGCTGACGCCGACGCAGATTGAGGTGTTTCTGGTGGATGTGAGGAAGGCGGTTATGGATGGCAGTTTTCATACTTACTTTCCTTTGACTACTGTTTATGGGAGAAAGCCGTTGGATGCTTAAGTGTTGGGGGATCTGACTTGGGTTGGGAGTTTGGTTCATAGTAGCGATAATGACCGGGAATTTGATGATATCATCGCATAAATATAAGTTAGACTTTGAATCGGGATCAGTACAGAGCCTCAATGCTGGCGGTGCCTATTTAAGGTACCTCACAGAATGTGTTCGCTCATTTGCCTTGGAGTAAGGTACCGGCCACCCGTTCTATGGGTGACTTTCACCCCGTATCACCTGGCTATCATCATCGCGGGAACAAAACATACCTTAAACATCACATAACCAACAACAGCCCCAAAGGAGTCAAGACAAGCCAGTCCTTCCTCAGAGTACGACATATAGTCTCCAGAAACCCCTAGAAACCTGTCCACTCTCTCTGCCGTCCACCAGCATCCTCCCTATCACCCTCCCAGCCGCGGTAACCACCCAAAAGAACAAAAATGAAGAAAATCATCAAAGAAAACTCACAAAAAAAGAAGATTTGCACAGTACAGGACTCGAACCTGTGACCTTGGCCTATCGTTCGTGACCCCCCCGCCGCCGCTCCAAACCTACAGCACTGCCATAGGCGAGTTCTAGGGCCATACGGTACGATCACTTGCGAACGGGCCAACGCTCTACCGACTGAGCTAACCGTGCTGGAAGCTGGCCTTGTTGTTGAATATATAACACAAAATTCTAATATATATAGGGTGATTCAGGGGGTTAGGGAGGAGGTGGAGGTCTGGAGGTGGGAGAGGATAGGGAGGAAGGAGGGTTGAAGGTGAGGGAGGATGGGGAGGGTTGTGTATGGTGTGGGCTTAGGGTTGAGCTTGGGGATGACGGGAGGATGAGGGTTTAGATGAGGGTTTGGCGAGCTGGTGTTTGGCTGGGACGGCGATGGTGAGCTGGAGGTGAAGCTCGTGGGCTGGTTGGGAGAGCCATGGGCGAGAGGGAGGCTTGGTGGCTTGGTTTCTCTTCCTTACTATGCTGGTGGTCTCTTGCCGTGTGCGCGAGGCTGCTGGTGGTGCTTGGTCGTGACTGCCTTGCTTGTCATTCTGGTGTTGACCGCCCCGCCCATCCATCTTCGTCGCTCCTTCCCGTCCTTACACGCCTCCCGACTTCGTGGGTCTCCCGCGGTTGGTGCCTTCCCGACTAGAGTTTTCCCTCCCCGTGCTTTCCCTGAAGTTTTTCCCACTTGGCCCACTCCCGCCCTTGTTGCAGAATTGAGTTTTTCTTTTGGTGTTGCACGTCGCAACTCGGCCATGGCCGTTGAGTTGAACAATGGACATTTGTTGCGACCATCGATCAACAACACCAGCCTCACCAACGCAATAATCATTCAATTTCATTTATCTTGTTCGAAAACACTCGGCACATTCATGTCCTGCACTACTGTTCTTGCTCTGCATGAGCCAGGCTACCCCTCCTCCACCTGAGCCTCCGTCGCGACTTTCCACATGTTCAATGAGGGAGACGGGGTACGATGTTGTCGCATTGAATCTGTCATAAACATGGAATCAAGCAATAAATAGTCGGAACATACAGGAATTACAAGTCTCGCAAGAACCAGAGTTCAGCACTAGGTGGTGATCTGTCGTTGCGCGGGACACGGTGTTGCGGGGACGCCAGTTGCATAGTGGGGACAGAAAATTGGAATGACAGTCGCCATCACTCATGACACTCAAAAGAAGCATCTTAGCATTTCGTGTTATCTGTGGTTAATTCTTCCAGATTTCTTTCCAAGCAGCTCAAATGTACGTTAATGACCTTTTTCAGATCAAAAAAGGGCCTAGGCTGGATGTTGAGCGAGCATCTTGATGGTGTCGATTTGGAACTTCCCATTTCTTGTGGGAATCTGATCAAGCAATTTCTTGGCGCCACTCTCGCGTTACACCGCCAACAACGCACCATCGGCTGAGTGCTTTTCGGTTGATAAAATCTACATCAACTTCCAACTAGGGACGGCAAACTTCATCTAATATATCGTTGAACCTCGCATTCTCAGCATTTCAATTTCATCATGAGTTTTCCGGGTGGTTGGGAAGCAAACCAGTTGATGATCCTTGGGAGGAGGAAGTGCGACTCATTCATTGGCTGGGATCGCGGATGCTGCATCGTTTGATTGGCGCATTCAGCACTAGCTGGGCTTGCATGGGATGGATTTTGGGTTACACTCACAGCCTGCGCCCTCAACTTGTCGTCGCGACGGGACTTGACAATGGCGTGGGCTTGTTCAGCTCATGTCATCCGCTTCATCACAAGGTTCAGCTCAAATCTGGCATTTCAACGCCGTCCGATCTTGGATACTTGAATCTACACTACCCTCGACGCGCGCATCAAGCCTTCAGCACCCAGCTCGCTGCAGCACAATGCCATTGTTCTGCAAGTCGCCGCACCAACATGTCGCAACCTCCTCCGGCTCCAGCTCCAGGTCGTCGCAATGAAGATCCACCGACATTGTCCATACCTCCTCGCCGCAGTCACACCTTTCCAGAGCAGCCGCATCAACAACATCAAACTTTCGATGATTCATCCCAATCAGCACGGGCGCCGTCGTGGCCCCGGGAACCCCCTCAGCCAACCTACCCTCCATCATCCGGATACAACCCTTATATGATGCCCTATTCTGTCCCCTACTATCCCATCCCACAGCCTCCAGTCGCTTATCCTCCAGCTTCTGGCCCTCCCGGACCCACGCGCGCAGCTCAACATGTCCACTTCGAGCCATACAACGAGTACATTCACCCACCTCAGCCGGGACCATCACCCGTACCCTTAGTTGCTCCCTATGACACTTGGGTAACACCTCCAGGCGGCTTCTACGGACCTGGAGACACCTTCTCTCGGCCCACCTATCAGCCTGTCAGAAGAAACATCAGACGCTCAGCATCACCGACACCTGCGTCTTCTCCCAGTGGGCACCGAAAGAAGCGTCGGCACAAGACCGTCAAGTTCGAGCAGGACAGCGATGATGATGTCCTCCATAAAATCGACGAGTACTCGCCGCCGCCCCTACGGTCTCACGCACCTCCTGATGAAACCTTGTCGCCCGGCGCGGAGGACGACGACTCGGATGAAGATAGGAGCGATGAGTTACGATCCAACTCTACCGTGGAGGGTGCCTACAGGTCCACGCGAGGAGCTTCCACTGTCAGAAGCTACGGGTCTTCAAGGTTCAGGGCTACGCCAGCTCTGGTACCTGAAGAGTCTGGGTCATCTGCTTACTCCTTCGCTGCGTCCTTCCGGGCAGCAAGGGTGGCATCGATTGGAGGCTCAGCAGACGGGGAGCAGAGCGAGGATGCGGATGTGACCCCGAGCCAACCATCGCCAAGGGACGACCAGAATCCAGAAGTAGCCCACATTCTTGCCTCGTCCTACACTGGCGAAGGATACACGGTTGCCGAAGGTCACCACTCAGCTGACTTGCTGATGGCCGCAAACCCAGCCCAGCTACGGCACCTTCAGCCATTGTACCGCTGGATGTAAGTAGCCTATCTCCCAAGAGGTCAAAGACTGGGCTAACAATTGTCGTGCGGATAGGCATCTTACCCGCCCGTCGATGTCTTTGGAAGACCTTTCGGTAAGCGTTTCTGGGACGAAAAGTCAAGTAACTTTCCGGCTGACAGAAAGGGTTAGAACCAGATCGCGCGCCTCTCTGTCCTGACCGGCATCGAAAGAAAGGCAGTCAACGATATCCTCTTCCGTCTCAAGCAGTCATCCGTCAAGTTGATTCAGACCTCGAGCGGCAAGCCCGTCCAACACATGGAACCGGGCTGCTTCGATTACGTTTTGCCTCACGATAGCGGTGTTGGAGGGAAAACTCGTACTACCCGGAGCGTGACCTGGATTTGCCTGCCATACTTCAGCCTCGAGCCATACTCTGGCCTCCTCTCTGGTGCCGAAAACTCATCAGTGTTTCCCATCCAGACCTTACTGCAGGCCCAATTCTCTCGGACTGCCAAAGAACGCGACATGCAACAAGCAGTGCGGCAAGTTGCCAAGGCCGGTCCAGGCCTCTGGTTTCACATCTCACAGCTTTGGTGCATTATCATAAACAATTGTACGGTTCCTCCCTTCCCCTTTGCGCAGCGGGTATTGTGCTGGTCATAAGGCTTGTGTTGACATGCGCTCTCTAGCATTCGTTATCACGTACGGCAGAATGTCCGGGGATGTGCTACGCGGCAACTCTATCACAAAGTCGGTCAAAGCCCTGAGCAGTCTTTCCGAAGAGCAATCGCAGCAAAAGTTCTGGGTCCGATTCGGGGGCAATGTCATGTGGACTTTGGCGGTAAAAGATTGCCAGACATGGTTTGTGAGTATTGGGCTTCAACATGGATAGGGTCTCATTACGGTTTCCTGCTTGCTAACCGTTGCTGCTTAGGACTTCGTTTCCCATTTTTGGGAGTTCTGGCATCTGCCCCTCTGCTTCTACCGTAACAAGCGTCCCGTCTGCGCGGAGGACTGGCCGAAGATTTGGGTGTCAGCAAGTCAGAAACACTCGCATACAATTTCCTTTGATCTTGAGCTTGGGTTCGTATATACCTAGTCCCTATGCTAGGGTAACACGACTAGACCTGCCACTAACTCGGAAAACTCAGGCCGACGCCCAAGCTTCCGACACCAGGACGACTCATGCCAATCGAACCCCAATTCCCGCAAACCGAGGCGACCGCAACAGACGAGCCCAAAGACAGCGACGCGACTAGCTCCAAGAAAGAAAACCGGGATGAAAAGGCAAGGAGGACTCAACACCTACGACCACCTTCAAAAACGACAACTACAACAACAACGCCCGATTCTCCGAAAGCCTTCCAGCCACCCCCCAGTTCCTCGTTTGCTCTTTTTACATGCCTCGATGACGTTTCGCTGTCCGGAAACAATACGATTGACGAAGCCAAATTTGACGAGCGTCTTCATGAGATAGAAACAATTCTGTTGCACGAAACTAGTGTCAGCGACCAACGTGCATATAAACGCTGTCCAAGCGCCACCCGCCTCGCCACTTATCATATGCTTGAAAAGGAGGAGCTGGAGATAGTCCAGCCCGAAAGGAGGGTACGCTCATCCGACCCGCAGGACTACGAAATACGGGCCGACATATTCAACTTGGCCGACATGATTTTCAGGTTCTTTCTTCCCGGCACAACTGAAAACCCCATGGCGTCCAAGTTCTGGGGTGCCGTGAAAAATCAGGTCAAGGTGTGTCTTGAGCTGACTGGCTGCTTAACCTTCAAGAAGCAATATGCTGACCAGTGATTGTAGCAGCATGACGACGAGGGCGTGGCCGAGGATCGATACCAACTAAGAGCTATGCTCAAAGAACTTGCGGTCATGATACTTTACTTCACTGAAACGTTTCTACATGCGCAACATGCGGATCGTGTTCGAATCCACGTGCCAGACCAGCTAATCGATGGCTGGCTCCATCTTCTTTTGGGCCTGTCGTACATGTCCACGGATCCGGAGAGAGCATCCACCTTCCTGGATGTTCATGCAAAACCTCTCATCAGCCAGGGACTCAACGCCATTGTTAAAGACATGGCCAAAAAGCCTCTGCTTGAGAAGTCTGTAGTTCTTCCCCAAGAGATAGTCTCATTGATGAGCATGAAGCTTCTTACGGACGTTACCCCGGGCCTGCCGAATATCAGCCAGACGTA